TTGTGTTGAGGGAGTGCTTGAATTGAACCCCACTGTCCATCTGCAACCTTAGTTCTTAACATATAGACATGAGTACATGGTTCTATTCCCCTCATTAAATACATATATGTGTGTGTATGTGTGTGTACATGCGTATATTTAGACCTCTATAAGTGTCCTTTGCCTCCTGGTTCTTTCCTCTATTTCCTTTTACTTTCCTCCTGTCCGACCATCATGTTCAGCCATCATTCAGGTTTAGTAATTCCTCGCTGCTACAGTGCCCTTGATTAAGCCTCACTGGGCATCCTACGCCCTTCTTCTCTCCATTGATTTTAGTTCACTTATTCCCTTGTCCCCTCCCAGGGGCAGTTCTAATCTGTCCTATAGGGTAGCTAGGAGTCAGAATTGACTCAATGATAGAAAATGAGAGGTAACTACTGCTAATAGTTCTGATATAATTTCTTCCAGGTATATAAAATAACATAAAAGGTATACAATATAAAAGAGATACAGGGATGCTTCAAAGAGATTGTGAAACAATTCCATTGTTTTTCTATTCCATTTCCCCCACAAACTTCTTGTAGCCCCCTCTATACGGTATATCAAATAATATTGCATAGTAAAATATTTTAGGAATATAATTCTCCTTAAAATGGATTTGGAGTTTTCCTATCAGCTTTCAAATTAAACATCCCTAATGTTTTCTTTGATTAGAAAAAATTCAACTGTACTTGAAATTTATATATTTTGGGTTTTGTTTAATATGTGATTTTTCCCCCCCCTATGTAGGTAATCTTGGCCAGCTCCTCTCATTTCTCACTTCCACCACTTTCCTTAAGCACTTGAACCTAGTGCTCCTTATGCTATTTGGGTGAGCCCACCCCACCCCCAATTGCTGTGTACATGATAAATTGTACATGTTTTATTTGTGACACCATTTGTAACTTGTCCTGTGAATTTGAGAACCTTTTATCTGGCCCATAGCTATTCAGTATGATGAGTCAGTGTGAATTATTACAGTAAATTCAAATGCTGTAAAATTTCTAAAGTGTTTACTCTTCATTTCTATACTCATCTCATAACCCAGTAATCAATAGTTCACAGTCTGGCATGGGTCTGGGCACCATACTTTGAGTAGCCCTGTTCTACTCAGCATCTATGATCCTCACTCTTAGATATTTCCTTGTCTTCTTCACCAAAAGAGAGACTAGAGAGATATGATGAATTATTTTAACTTTATGGCCTTCAATATGTATACATAATAAATATACATACCTGTGA